CAACAGCACCAAAAGCGCTCAGAGCCGTCGCTCAGAGCCGGCGCTCTGAGCCGTCGCTCAGAGCCGGCGCTCAGAGCCGGCACTCCGAGCCGGCGCTCACAGCCGGCGCTCACAGCCGGCGCTCAAAGCCGGCGCTCAAAACCGGCGCTCAAAGCCGGCGCTAAAAGCCGGCGCTCAAAGATGGCCCTCAAAGCCGAGCGGCCAGGCGAGCGGCCAGGCGAGCGGGCAGGCGAGCGGCCAGGTGAGCGGCTAGGCGAGCGGCCAGGCGAGCGGCCAGGCGAGCGGCCAGGCGAGCGGCCAGCGAGAAGCCAGCGATCAACAACCGCAACACCAACAGGATGGGAAAAAGAACTAGAGGCACCAACATATATCATAACTAGAAATCTATACTTATATTAGTGAGGTTTTGCATTCCGAATTTCGGTTCAGTGTTCTTCGGTCATATGTCGAACATCAAAATGCCGAATATTCGCACCAACCTTTGTTTTGCAAGTCGAAAATGATGTGTTTTCATTTCGTGAGCCCCAGCATCTGCAATGTCCTGTCCCGTTCTCCTTTCCTTGCTGATTCCAACGAACTTTGATCGCCCAAAGAGTCGAGGGCCAAACCTGCCTCCCCAGTCGCCTCAGAAAAACCAACTCCATGGCCAAGTCAAATTTCATGCGTATCGCCATAGTCTTTCAGCCACACAGATGACGGTGAGGACACTCCAGGCCAAAGAGAGTTGACAGGCAGTGGAGAGGAGCAATCAGAGGTACCTGGCGATGCTGATGTCGCCAAAGACGGTCGCGAAGCGATGCCGAGATGAGAAACCTCTTTGAAAAAATCACGCGCTAGCGCTCTTCTACAAGAAAATTCATCCGAAAAATATTTTCGTCAAAGTGAGCTTTTTCCGAACAAACATGCCGAATCTTCGTGTGCATTTTTGACCTCGCTCGCGCGTGCCGAATCTTTTTGCCGAATTTCGGAATGCAAAACCTCGCTATTAAAGGGGAAGTTAAGGCAAAAATTAAAATTTCACCAGTTGTTGTCTTCGGGGTGCCGAGTCGAATGGTCTTGGTCCGAGAAAGCTGAGACGCTCCCTTCCTACTTGAATCCCAATCGAACTCGCGCACTTCCACCGAAACTGGGTGACTGCGCCCTACTAGATGGGGATTTGTATGCAAAATGTCACTAAAAGCGCCGTTTCGTTCTTATAAAAGCACGGATGACCGCGATTGGCCCATATGTTGTAGCCTTTTGGACGCTGAGTCGACTGGTTTTGGTCCGAAAAGGCTGCGATGCAGCGTTCCTCTTTTATTCCCAATCGAACATGGTTGAACAAGCGGTCACGTGCTCCTGCGTACACCAGTCAGCTGGTCACCGTGCCTGCAGGGTACAACTTACTAGCCTGTTTGACCTTTTTTGGGTGCACTCCTGTCACTCGAGTTGAACTCGAGTTGAACCTTGGTGTGAAAGTTGTCGCCTGCTGGCGTGGTGACCAGGTGATTTGGGCACCCAAGAGCACGTGACCACTTGTTCAACCATGTTCGATTGGGAATAAAGGAGGAACGCTGCATCGCAGCCTTTTCGGACCAAAACCAGTCGACTCAGCGTCCAAAAGACTACAACATATGGGCCAATCGCGGTCATCCGTGCTTTTATAAGAACGAAACGGCGCTTTTAGTGACATTTTGCATACAAATCCCCATCTAGTAGGGCGCAGTCACCCAGTTTCGGTGGAAGTGCGCGAGTTCGATTGGGATTCAAGTAGGAAGGGAGCGTCTCAGCTTTCTCGGACCAAGACCATTCGACTCAGCACCCCGAAGACTACAACTGGTGAAATTTTAATTTTTGCCTTAACTTCCCCTTTAAAAGAAGAGGCACCTGTGACGTGTGTTTGTCTGTGTGTTACGCAGAAGCGCTGAGGAGCAGCGCTGCCCTGAGCACGCGAAGCGTGCGAACAGTGTAGCTAGCGGCCGCAGAAGCACTGAGCACGCGAAGCGTGCGAATCGTGTAGCTAGCGGAAGCAGCCACAGAAGCACTGAGCACGCGAAGCGTGCGAATCGTGTAGCCACCACCAAGTGCTGAGCACGCGAAGCGTGCGAACAGTGTAGCTAGCAGACACGATCAGTACGAGTAGCAGTAGCAGCCGCGCGCAGAAGCATTGAGCACGCGAAGCGTGCGAATCGTGTAGCCACCTACCCTAGGCCATAGGTAGCACTAGCAGCCGCACAAGCGCTCTGCGGACCACGTGAACCGTTCTCTGCAAATAGAAACATCTGCAAAAAAAGGATACAAAAGATCTGCACTGACTGCACTGTGCATCTGATCTGCAGTGAAGAGCGCATCGTGCAGCTACCTTTCCCGCGGACCACGTGAACCGTTCTCTGCAAATAGAAAGATCTCCAAAAAAATGATACAAAAGATCTACAGCTTCCTTTTCCACGTGAACCGTTCTCTGCAAATACAAAAAACTTGAAGACTTGACCTAGGCGACGCTTTGCACTTTTTCATGTTTTGAGCCGCTTCATCCGCCACCAGGTGATGGACAACCCTGACCAGCCTCCCGAAGGCGTAACAGACGTCCCTCCTTCTCCTTCCAACGATGAAGAACCTCCCTCACCAGGACTTCAGCGGTCTGGGAAAAGACGCCGCCGGTTCTCATCAATAACGTCGTCCGACGTTGAAGAGGTCATTGCCCGCAGACGGGAACAAGCCAGGGTTCGAATGCAGAGGGCAAGGTCACGGGAAATTGAAGAACAGGCTGATCGCCGCAGACTTCTAAATCGTCGACAAACTGCTGCGACACACTCTCAGGAGACGCATGAACGAACTCTGGAACGCAGAGACCGTGACTGCCGCCGAACTGCTGAGGCACGTTCGCATGAGACACCTGAGCAGGCAGACAATCGCCGAAGTCAAAGCCGTATGCAAGTTGCCAGAGCGAGGTCACTCGAGACGCAAGGGGACACGGAGGTACGAAAAAGCCAAAATGCTCAGCGGCAGGGAGCACCCCCGGATGAAAATGCATCCGCCACAGGGCCAGATCCCCACGAACAGCCTATGGCCACTACAAGAGCAGGTGAGCGTACTGGTAATTTCACCCGTAACATACAGACCATTAAACCAGATATCTGGGGTAAACTGGGCTTCCATTACGACAGCAACTTGGACTCCCACTAACAGGTCCATCACATTAGGTGGCATGAACGTCCTGTGTAAGCATTGCAAGGCCAGAACGTGGAAAAATGAGCCGCCAGGTATATGTTGCTCAAGTGGAAATATTGATCTCCCAGACTATGCAGAGCCACCTCAGCCGCTCAAAAACCTGCTTTCTGGCCTTACAACTCAGGAATATAAGCACTTCCTCCAGAGCATTCGCAAATACAACAGTGCATTCCAAATGACATCATTTGGTGCGAATGAGCAGTACATGGACGGCTACATTCCAACGTTCAAGGTGAAAGGGCAAATCTACCACAGACTTGGGTCAATCCTTCCCCGGCAGGCGAAGAGCACAGGTTCTTGCAAATTTATTTCATGGGTGACAGCGAGCGAGAAACTAGCAGGCGGTGCGAAGTTATTCACAACCTCCACCACGTCACTGTTGCTGACCTGCAGGCGATGCTCCATGCGCACAATCCGCACATCGTCAACATCAAGACGGCATTGGATGTTGGCAATGTCCCAGACTTGCGACTGAAGACGCAGTGAAGTTGAGCGCAGACCGAGCACCACAAGGTGAACACACCCACGGTCAATGAAGTTGCCGTTCTGATAGCAGGCCATGCACACTGAGCACGCAAAGCGTGCGAATCGTGTAGCCACCACCACGTGCTGAGCACGCGAAGCGTGCGAACAGTGTAGCTAGCAGACACATGCATGCACTACTGTGGCTCCAGCATTCAATTCCATCTGCTGATGTGGATGATGTTGTTCGTGCGGAAATTCCCTCGGCGGAGGATGACCCTGTCCTCCATGACTTGGTCAAAAAGCATATGAACCATGGACCTTGCGGTGCACTAATCACAAGCGCGCCATGCATGAAAGATGGGAAGTGCAGCAAAGGGTACCCCAAACCAATGGTGAAACACACCCAGACGGACAGGGATGGATACCCTCTTTACCGCAGGCGCTCCGGGGAAGATGGCGGGTCATTCACGGTGTTGAAAATTAGAAATGAAGAAGTCGAAGTCGACAACAGATCGGTTGTGCCTTACAACCCAGTCCTCCTTCGATTGTTCAGTGCGCACATCAATGTGGAGGTGTGCAACTCTGTAAAGGCCATCAAGTACATCACAAAGTACATCAACAAAGGTTCGGATCAGGCAGTCTTCGGTGTCCAGAATGAGAACGATGAGGTCAGCAGGTACCAGACAGGTCGGTATGTTTCCAGTAGCGAGGCAGTCTGGCGCATTTTTGGCTTCCCGATTCATGGCAGGTATCCAACAGTCACCCACCTTGCGGTTCACTTGGAGAATGGCCAGCGAGTCTACTTCACAGAAGAGACCGCCCATGCGGTAAGTGAGAGTCCGCCAGAGACTACTCTCACTGCTTTCTTCAAGCTTTGTGCCACTGATGCCTTCGCGAGAACTCTTCTGTACAACAGCGTGCCTTCCTACTTCGTGTGGGATGCCCAACGGAAGAAATTCAAGAGACGCAAAGTCGGCACTCTTGTCCCAGGCTACGAGGGGGTCAGGAAAAGTGATGCTCTCGGCCGAGTGTACGCTGTGCACCCAAGGCAGGCAGAGTGCTATTACTTGCGACTCCTTCTGCACACTGTTCACGGGCCGACTTCGTTCGATGATGTCAGGACAGTAGATGACCAAGTTTGCGAAACGTACAGGCAAGCCAGTCAGCTTCGGGGTCTGCTGCAGGACGACGAGCATTGGCTCAGTGCCTTGCTTCAGGCTGCCGAGTCCAGCCATCCAGCTGCGATCAGGCACCTCTTTTCCATCATGATGTCCTTCTGAGAAGTTAGTGATCCTTTGCGACTATGGAATGAATACCGTGAGGCAATGTCAGAAGATTACTTGCAGGCGGCGCGTCGACAGGAAGGGAATGAGGCGCGAACATTTTCTCAGATGGAGTTCGATCAGTGCCTTTGCGCCATCCAGACACACCTTCTCACCATGTGCGGTAGAACCTTGGTAAGTGCAGGCCTTCCAGACCCATCACAGGCAAGTTCAACTCTGTCCGACCAGCCTCTTGCAAGGGAGACCAACTACGACCGTGCCGCGTTGCTTGAGCAAGTACGACAACAAGAACCGACACTAACCGACGATCAACGTTCGGCGTATGACGCAATTTGTGACCAGGTACAGGCAAGTGACGGTGGGTTGATTTTCCTCGACGCACCCGGTGGTACAGGTAAGACGTACGTCACAAACGTACTTCTTGCAAAGGTTAGATCAGGTGGACACGTTGCCTTGGCTGTTGCCTCTTCCGGAATAACAGCCACAATCTTGGCTGGTGGTCTGACTGCTCACTCCACGTTCGCTTTGCCCTTAGATCTGCACCGCCTTGAGGAGCCAACCTGCTCGATCGCCAAAGATTCTGAGAAAGCAGCGCTCCTTCGTGAGGCTGTGCTGATCGTGTGGGACGAATGCACGATGTCATACAAGCATGCTTTCGAGGCTGTCGACAGGACTTTGCGAGACCTGCGCAGCTCTAATTCCTTGATGGGTGGTGTGACGGTTGTGATGTCCGGTGACTTTCGCCAAACGTTGCCTATTGTTCCTAGAGGCACTTCTGCTGATGAGATCAATGCCTGCATCAAGTCTTCGGCATTCTGGCGTTCCGTGGTGAAGTACACACTTACCACAAACATGCGAGTTCTGCGTAGCAGTGATACCAATGCGGGTCAATTCTCTGCGCAGCTCCTTAAAGTCGGCAACGGTGCAATACCCGTTCTGCCTTCAGGCAAAATTGCGGTTCCGAGTGATCTCGCACAGATTGCTGCTTCCCAAGAAGACATTGTACGAATAATCTACCCTGATGTCGCGGACAATTTTTCGATCCCACTTGGTTGAAAGAAAGAGCTATCCTTGCACCTTTGAATGACACTGTCACTGACATGAATGGGATACTCATGCACAAACTGCCAGGTGACTTGGTCCAGTACGAGTCTGTTGACACTGTCGAAGATGACGACTCTGGTGATTACCCTGTTGAATTCCTGAACTCCTGTAACCCCTCAGGCTTACCAAGTCACCTGCTTCACCTCAAAGTGGGTGTGCCGGTCATGCTTCTCAGGAACCTGGATGCGCCGAAGTTGTGCAATGGCACAAGATTAATTGTGAAGCGCATCCAGCGACATGTAATTGAAGCTGAGATTTTGACTGGGTCGGGTGCAGGAGAACCGGTGTACATACTGAAAATACCCACGACATCCACCAATCTGCCATTCCAACTTCGACGTGTCCAGTTCCCACTCCATGTCTGCTTTTGCATGACCTTAAACAAGTCCCAAGGGCAGTCCCTGAAGGTTGTTGGTTTGGACCTAACAACACCATGCTTTGGGGGAGGGGGGAGGGGAGGGGGAGTCTCCATAACCATTGTATTTGTCCCTGTAAGATCTCTGTTACCTGCAGCTTCCTCTGATCCAACTGCCTACCGAACCTCCTTCCCTTGCGTCTCCAGTGACCTATGGCTTCCTTGCATTGGGTTTCCACTTTGCCTTTGTTCTGCCTCTTCTGGGGTCTCTTGAGGCCACGCTTTAGCAGTTTCGTGCAGGGCATGGTGTCTCCTGCCTTGAATTTTTTTGGTGTCTCCTGCGGGTGTGCCGCAGTACTTTGCCGACGATTTGTTGTCATGGCTGACTAATCCCAATAACTGAGAACTCTATACGTGATTCCATTCACTCACCATGCTGCGCATAACTGTTCGCATTATTGTTCGAGGATGAAGCATCCCATCATCCCATATGCTGAACACAAGTACACTCTCTATGTCCAAGCTGCCACATGTACATGTACGTACATGTCTCAACATGCCTAAGGCACAATTTCCCAATAATTGGATGAGCCTTCACTATTGTAAATCTCAGTTCTATAACTGCTGATAAACAGCTACCCGGTCATGCGGTGTTACACAGCAATGTGCTGTTCATGTACTTGCTTCACCCGCATGCTACGTTCGGCCAGGCAACGCTGGCCGTGTGCTGCTATATATCATAAACGTGTGTTGAAAATTATTTTTCGTAAACCCTCTCTTTTCCCCTCTACTGATCTATACAGTTTGGCCTCCACCAGCCCCAACTCTATCCTGTCGCAGAGACAGTCATGCGTTCTGGTCCATCGTATTAAACTGAACATTGTCCCTGAACATCTCACCAAGTATAATTGGTTTACTTTCGCACGGGACACTCGCAATGGCATAGTACTTCCCAGAGCTTTGTCAACTATGTTTACCAACTCTCCTATCTTCTCTGCATACTCGTATTGGCGCAAGCTGTCCATGGAAATGAAGACAATATCCAATATTAGACAGTTCATAGACCATGTTAAATGTCATGCCACGTTGTAGGCTCGCTCGCCTCTTTTGCTAGCTTATCTCGCCGCTCTTCACCATGGTCAACAAAGTGATACATTTCACCCCGCTGATGGATTATTTTCTTCCGATTATCATCTTCTTTCCTTCATTTTTTTCTTCTCTTGCCATGGCTGGCTAACGCCCCCTCCTTTCCATTGGCTTTTGCCATTGGACGGTGAAATAAATAAAATACGATAATGAAGGAGAGAAATGAGAACAGAAATTAGAACTAGAGAGAGAAAGTAAATGAGAACAAGAATGAGAACAAGAATGGGAACTAGAATGAGAACAAGTATGAGAACAAGAATTGGAACTATAATGAGAACAAGAATAGGAACTATAATGAGAACAAGAATGGAAACTATAATGAGAACAAGAAAGACAAGATGAATCATAGCAAGAATATCGACAAGAAAGAGGAAAAAATTGGGCACATTAGTGAGAAGCATCAAGGAAGAGAAAAAGTTCGAGAAAATGAGTGAGACCAAGTTTGTAAACAAAAATGGGACAGTACAAAATCATAACACTTATGATAGCAAGGATCTTCTCTGCATAGTAATCTTGGCTTACCTTTCTGGACACAGATTAAGGTCATGTCCGGGACCAACATGACAACTGAAGTTGTGAGAGGCTGCTGCCGGAGCGACATTGCTCAACAAAGAGAATCCTGTTGACTTCTATCGACAAGACATCTCCACAACAACAACAACAACAACAACAGCAGCAACAGCAACAGCAACAACAACAGCAACAAAAGCGCTCAGAGCCGGCACTCAGAGTTTGTTGTTTGTTTGTTTTCTTTATTTGAATTCGCTAAAACCAAACGGACAGAACTGTCCAGTGACAAGGGAGCGAATGATGAGCGTCATAATCACTATGCATCAAAACATCTCAGGACAAAATGAGACAGACTATATTAAGGGAGGGTCTGCACAACACTTGTACATAAAGGGGAGTACGAGAACAAAGGCGCTGCAGAAGTCGAAGCAAGAAAGCAATCAACGCCAGAGATATTTTTGTCCACCGAAAACAGAGAGAGAGAGAGAGAGAGAGATCCGAGAGCGAGAGAGAGACAGAGCGGGCGCTCAGAGCCGGCGTTCAAACACCGGCACTCAGAGCCGGCGCTCAGAGCTGTCGCTCAGAGCCGGTGCTCAGAGCCGGCGCTCAAAGCCGGCGCTCAAAGCCGGCGCTCATAGCCGGAGCTCAAAGCCGGCGCTCAAAGCCGGCGCTCAAAGCCGGCGCTCAAAGCCGGCGCTCAAAACCGGCGCTCAGAGCCGGCGCTCAAAGCCGAGCGGCCAGGCGAGCGGCCCGGCGCTCGGCTCGGTGAGCGGCCAGGCGAGCGGCCAGGCGAGCGGCCAGGCGAGCGGCCTCGCCTGGCCGCTCACCTGGCCGCCCGCCTGGCCGGCCGCCTGGCCGCCCGCCTGGCCGCCCGCCTGGCCGCCCGCCTGGCCGCCCGCCTGGCCGCCCGCCTGGCCGCCCGCCTCGCCGCCCGCCTCGCCGCCCGCCTGGCCGCCCGCCTGGCCGCCCGCCTGGCCGCCCCCCTGGCCGCCCGCCTGGCCGCCCGCCCGCCTGGCCGCCTGCCTGGCCGCCCGCCTGGCCGCCCGCCTGGCCGCTCGCCTGGCCGCTCGCCTGGCCGCTCGCCTGGCCGCTCTCCTGGCCGCTCGCCTGGCCGGAAGCCTTGCCGGAAGCCTGGCCGGAAGCCTGGCCGGAAGCCTGGCCGGAAGCCTGGCCTGAAGCCTGGCCTGAAGCCTGGCCTGAAGCCTGGCCGCTCGCCTGGCCGCTCGCCTGGCCGCTCGCCTGGCCGCTCGCCTGGCCGCTCGCCTGGCCGCTCGCCTGGCCGCTCGCCTGGCCGCTCGCCTGGCCGCCCGCCTGGCCGCCCGCCTGGCCGCCCGCCTGGCCTCCCGCCTGGCCGCCCGCCTGGCCGCCCGCCTGGCCGCCCGCCTGGCCGCCCGCCTGGCCGCCCGCCTGGCCGCCCGCCTGGCCGCCCGCCTGGCCGCCCGCCTGGCCGCCCGCCTGGCCGCCCGCCTGGCCGCCCGCCTGGCCGCCCGCCTGGCCCGCCTGGCCGCCCGCCTGGCCGCCCGCCTGGCCGCCCGCCTGGCCGCCCGCCTGGCCGCCCGCCTGGCCGCCCGCCTGGCCGCCCGCCCGCCTGGTCGCCCGCCTGGCCGCCCGCCTGGCCGCCCGCCTGGCCGCCCGCCTGGCCGCCCGCCTGGCCGCTCGCCTGGCCGCTCGCCTGGCCGCTCGCCTGGCCGCCCGCCTGGCCGCCCGCCTGGCCGCCGGCCTGGCCGCCCGCCTCGCCGCCCGCCTGGCCGCCCGCCTGGCCGCCCGCCTGGCCGCCCGCCTGGCCGCCCGCCCGCCTTGCCGCCCGCCTGGCGCCCGCCTGGCCGCCCGCCTGGCCGCTCGCCTGGCCGCTCGCCTGGCCGCTCTCCTGGCCGCTCGCCAGGCCGGAAGCCTGGCCGGAAGCCTGGCCGGAAGCCTGGCCGCTCGCCTGGCCGCTCGCCTGGCCGCTCGCCTGGCCGCTCGCCTGGCCGCTCGCCTGGCCGCTCGCCTGGCCGCTCGCCTGGCCGCTCGCCTGGCCGCTCGCCTGGCCGCTCGCCTGGCCGCTCGCCTGGCCGCTCGCCTGGCCGCTCGCCTGGCCGCCCGCCTGGCCGCCCGCCTGGCCTCCCGCCTGGCCGCCCGCCTGGCCTCCCGCCTGGCCGCCCGCCTGGCCGCCCGCCTGGCCGCCCGCCTGGCCGCCCGCCTGGCCGCCCGCCTGGCCGCCCGCCTGGCCGCCCGCCTGGCCGCCCGCCTGGCCGCCCGCCTGGCCGCCCGCCTGGCCGCCCGCCTGGCCGCCCGCCTGGCCGCCCGCCTGGCCGCCCGCCCGCCTGGCCGCCCGCCTGGCCCCCCGCCTGGCCGCCCGCCTGGCCGCCCGCCTGGCCGCCCGCCTGGCCGCCCGCCTGGCCGCCCGCCTCGCCGCCCGCCTGGCCGCCCGCCTGGCCGCCCGCCTGGCCGCCCGCCTGGCCGCCCGCCTGGCCGCCCGCCTGGCCGCCCGCCTGGCCGCCCGCCTGGCCGCCAGCCTGGCCGCCCGCCTGGCCGCCCGCCTGGCCGCTCGCCTGGCCGCTCGCCTGGCCGCTCGCCTGGCCGCTCGCCTGGCCGCTCGCCTGGCCGCTCGCCTGGCCGCTCGCTTGGCCGCTCGCCTGGCCGCTCGCCTGGCTGCTCGCCCCTGGCCGCTCGCCTGGCCGCTCGCCTGGCCGCTCGCCTGGCCGCTCCCCTGGCCGCTCGCCTGGCCGGCGCTCAGAGCTGTCGCTCGGAGACGGTGCTCAGAGCCGGCGCTCAAAGCCGGCGCTCATAGCCGGAGCTCAAAGCCTTTGAGCCGCTCGCCTGGCCGCTCGCCTGGCCAGGCGAGCGGCCAGGCGAGCGGCCAGGCGAGCGGCCAGGCAAGCGGCCAGGCGCGCGGCGAGGCGCGCGGCCAGGCGAGCGGCCAGGCGCGCGGCCAGGCGAGCGAGCGGCCAGGCGAGCGAGCGGCCAGGCGAGCGAGCGGCCAGGCGAGCGAGCGGCCAGGCGGGCGAGCGGCCAGGCGGGCGAGCGGCCAGGCGGGCGAGCGGCCAGGCGGGCGAGCGGCCAGGCGGGCGAGCGGCCAGGCGGGCGAGCGGCCAGGCGGGCGAGCGGCCAGGCGGGCGAGCGGCCAGGCGAGCGAGCGGCCAGGCGAGCGAGCGGCCAGGCGAGCGAGCGGCCAGGCGAGCGAGCGGCCAGGCGAGCGGCCAGGCGAGCGGCCAGCTAGCAGCTAGCTATCAGCAACAGCAACAGGATGGGAAAAAGAATTAGAAGCATCAAAAAACGATAATTAAGGAGAGCAAAGAGAAATGAGAACAGAAATTAGAACTAGAAAGAGAGAAAGGAAATGAGAACAAGAATGAGAGCAAGAATAGGGACTAGAATGAGAACAAGAATGAGAACAAGAATAGGAACGACGAGCGGCCAGGCGAGTGGCCAGGCGAGTGGCCAAGCGAGCTGCGAGGCGAGCGGCAAGCGAGCAGCCAGCGATCAGCAACAGCAACAGGATGGGAAAAAGAACTAGAACCACCAAAATACGAAAATGAAGGAGAACAAAGAGAAATGAGAACAGAAATTAGAACTAGAAAGACAGAATGGAAATGAGAACAAGAATGAGAACAAGAATGGGAACTATTATGAGAACAAGAATGGAAACTATAATGAGAACAAGAATGGAAACTATAACGAGAACAAGAAAGACAAGGTGAATCATAGCAAGAATATCGACAAGAAAGAGTAAAAAATTGAGCGCATTAGTGAGAAGCATCAAGGAGGAGAAAAATTCGAGAAAATGAGTGAGACCAAGTTTGTAAACAAAAAATGGGACGTTACAAAATCATAACACTAATGATAACAAGGATGTTTTACTAATCTTGGCTTACCTTTCTGGACACAGTTTAAGGTCATGTCCGGGACCAACATGACTCCTGAAGTTGTGAGATCTGCTGCCGGAGCGACATTGCTCAACAAAGAGAATCCCGTTCACTTCTATCGACAAGACATCTCCACAACAACAACAGCAACAACAGCATCAACAGCAACAGCAAAAGCAACAACAGCAACAACAACAGCACCAAAAGCCCTCAGAGCCGACAACAGCAACAACAACAGCAACAACAACAGCACCAAAAGTGCTCAGAGCCGGCGCTCAGAGCCGGCGTTCAGAGCCGGCGCTCAGAGCCGGTGCTCAGAGCCGGCGCCCAGAGCCGGCGCTCAGAACCGGCGCTCAAAGCCGGCTGTCAGAGCCGGCGCTTAAAGCCAGCGCTCAAAGCCGGCGTTCACAGCCGGCGCTCAAACCCGGGG